AGATGGTTCACATTTTATTATCTTCTCCTCTTCCTCTGCTGTTTAAGCACCCTCATGTTTTCTAACCAAAGTCTCAGCCTTAAAGCCAGTAACAGAGGCATACACAATTGCTTGCTCTCTATCTGACTGGTGAGCAATGGAGTCATTCTGCCAGGAGAGGGATTGCTATCTGAGTGACCTATTGCCACAGAGCTAGTTAAATCACTGAGCAATAGTTACTGTTATGGAGTTTTACTTTGCACAAACTAGCATTTGTATCATCAATAACTACAGCTCTCCAATAACTATAGGACCTGAACAGGGGACTTAACAGAGACAGAAGCCAGGAAAAAAGAGTACTTTTGTAGCATTATCATTTACACTTCAACACATTTAACTATGTATTTAGTTTCACTCTATCTGTATACACCCTGTACCTCTTTTTTTCCTCATTTAAAAAAAAACAAACAAACCTTAAAGTGTGCCTATTAAGAATCAATACATTCCTGCTTTGAAATTCTGGCATAAATATACTCTAAATAGCAACCATGAAATAACAATAAAAACACACCTGGAAAACAACTAACTTTAATACTGAGAGTACCTAGCAATAAAGGGTCTCAAGTGAACATCCCAATTAGCCAATATAGTGACAAGCAGTCAACACCTTATTATTTAATCATTAAATAATCTTGCCAAACTTTCTCTTTGGTGTCTCTCTCTCTCTCTCTCTCTCTCTCTCTCTCTCTCTCTCTCTGTTTATAAGGAATTAAGGATAGAACTACATGACCCACAACAACAGTCAAAAATAAAACCAGAGGACACAATGGCCAAACTGGTCTCAAGACCTTTGAATTTAAAAGTTCCAGGATCAGATAAAACTGATGTGCTATTAGGTGTTTCAAACTTTAAAAAGGCTACCAACTAAGTGCCTAGAACGAAACCTCTATAGAGCCCATTTTCCTGTCCCAACTGCTTGTGGCCTTTCTTTTTGTTGGAGTAAAACAAATTGTCTCTATTTCTAGGATTAGTTAATATCCGGAGATCACACCTTTCGCGCCCCCAGCTACAGTCCATCAAGCACATTAGAATGCCCCTTGCCTCCTCATCCCTTCCCATAACTTCTCCCCCCAAAGAGAAAGCTTACCTCTCCTTTAGCCACACCCCACTAATCCCATGGATGGGGTGACGGGGGTTCCCTCAAGTCCTAGTTTAAAGAATTCTAACATGAACTCTGCTTCAGGCGCAACAACATTCCAAACGTTTAAAACTAAACCATCATCACCAAGGATCCCAGGCCCAGTGGGGCAGCAAAGCGCCCTGGCCCAGGGCTGCCCTAGGTCTCCATGGCCCGCGGTCTGGTGCATGCCAGCCTGGGCCGTGCAGCCCGGGTCGGCCGCCCCTGGAGAGCCCAGCAGCTCCTGGTATTTGACCTGCCTGCCCACCCTGGCTTTCGGGTTCCATCCCTGAGAGGCACAGGACTTCTCCCCAGACTTCAGAGGCAAATCTGGATTAACATGCAACCGAGTGCCCAGCGCGGCCCGCCCGCCCCAGCCAGGGAGCGTTTAAATGCAGATTCAGCCGAGGGCCCCCCGGAGAGCGGCTGTGGAGTAAAATCTCTACTCTGAAGGGACCATTTCTCCGTCTCAGGAGGGGCCAGGATGGTCCCTTAGCCCCAGCTCGCTCAGAACAAGTGTGGTCACTTAGGGGCCCAGAGATTCTGCTCCTCTATACTTTCCTCTCTCAAGATTCGTCCTGGGGGTCAAGGGGATGCTTAAATGCCAGGAATAAAGAGGAATAGGCTCTCCCTGGAGGCTTCATCCCGACAGCTCCTCCACTTAGGGCGGCCTCACACCTAATAAGTAGGCGACCAAGCTCTTGCTCGCGGGTTCCCTTCCCCACGCCCTCCCCTCTACCCTGCGCCCCCAGACGTGGGTTCTTTGTCGCCCACCAGGCCCTACACCTGCCTGGACGCCTCTCCTGGCAGGTGTGCTGCTTTGCCCACAGTCTTGCCCTCACCCCATCCCGAGACTAGGCGGTCTCTGCACCCCTCGCTGCCCCCAGGCCATGGAGGGGGTGCCGCTGCGCCTAACGTGGAACGCGGCCCGTCGGGAGAGGGCGCCCGGGAGGCCTGCCGCCGCCAGACGTGGCTCTCAAGCCCAGGGACCTTTGGGGAGGCCTCCAGGTTGGGGTCAGGGGAGCGGGCGGGGACGCGGGATTATGACTTCGAGGGGCGTTTTGATCTGATTTAAAAAATCCCCAAAACAACAAGGCTACAAGGCAAGTTGATTTCCGCCAATTTGGCCCTCTGGGAACCCCGTGGGTATCGCAGTCGTGGACCCCAAGTCCTGACGCAGGTAGCAGCTTCCGAGCCCTCCGAGGAAAACACGGGAAAGAAAAAACCGTGCGGCCCGCAGACCCCAGATGGGGTTACAGAGCTAACGAGGCCAAGTTCGCACTGCGCCCGAAGCACCCGAGCCGTGCACCTTCTGCTGGGGTGCAAACCCCGCTGTCCTTTAGGCGCGGCTCCCAGGGCGCCGCACTGGGGTCCAGAGCCCCCCCCCCTCCCCACACACACACACACAGGCGGGCGAGCTGATTCCAGTCGCGACAACTGGCGCCTTGGAGGCGGCCTCGGCGCCTCATCCTTCGCTCCCCACCTTCCCAGACCAGGGGAGCCATCCTGCACCCATGGGTGCGCAGGATTTGTGGGCACAAGCTCACGTGTGGCCGGCACGCTGCGCTCACCGCTCCAAAAGGGGTCTAGGTGTACTCGCTCCCCTGCTCCTGGGAGCCGGACAGTTTAAAGGAGGAAATGGGTTTGAGGCTCTCAGAGCAGCTGAGACCTGAATGATGCTACTGGGGTCAGGAGTGCGCGCCCACGCGCAGAGGCCAACAGAGCCACAAGTGCAGCGAGCCCCCATCCCTCCCCAAGCTGAGAAGACCACTCATGGGGGTCAAGGGGACAGAAATATGCCCCAAACAGCTTCTCATTTTGTAGGTGAGACAGGAAAATGAGCATTTTAACCTAATACAATTGCACACCAAGTTTTGCCTTTCTAACATGAAGGTAAATGAGTAACAAAAGTTTACGGAAGGCATGTGGGGAGAACGCAAGGATGCGCCATAAATTTTGTATCCCCTCGCCCCCCCACAATCCTGAAAACCCCATAACTTTGGTCCTTTATCTTTGGCTTTAATAAAATAATGATTCGTTGAGAAAATGGGGTATAAATCTTCATTTTGGAGGCAATTAAAGTGTTGATTTCATTCATGCCCCTAAGCGATTCTTGTAATTTGCTCAAATAGCTTTATGTACCCAGCACTCCTGAGCTTTTAGAATCCCATTTTCTAGTTAGGCTTGTTGGATTACAATTTTTATTCAGCAGCAGCCTGAATCTGCATTTAACAGCTCCCGGGCGAAGTCTGGCGGAGCCGAACCAGCCGGAGCCGAACCGGGCGAGGCCGGGCGGCCAGCGGGCCCGGGGACCCGGAGAGGCCGGATCGCTCCGGCTCCGTGTCCTGCGCACGGCGAAAGTTTGCAACTCGCCACAGAATAATGAAGGAAGACCCAGAGTGTGGGCGCTGGCGAGCCCAGCTTTGCCTATCTACCCCCAACTCATCTGTCTAAAGCAGGAATAAGCCTCAGTCATGGGGTCTCCAAACAAAGTTTTTCTTTTAAGGGGGTGATGCTCAGAGAAGAAAACTTTAAGACACCAGGACCAGAGTATCAGGCACCCCAAACAAGGATCCTCCAAGACAGCCATTTGGCCAATCTCATCACTGTAACTCAAGCCAGGGGAGACTCTCTGGGCCTGGCTGGACTCCGGCTTAACAAAGGCCGGCTGATCTCTCCCTCAAGACCAGAGCCTCCTGCCAAGTGAGAAAGAAAAAGGCTGGGCCCTCACGCTTCTTGGAGGCCGAAGCCCCAATCTCAAGACGCGCTGCGGAGCCCAGAAACCCAGGGCGACCCGGGACCCTGCTCCTTCTCCCCCACCCCTCACGTTCTCACTTTGATTGCCTTTCTGCAACTCCTTTGGACCAATCCTGAGCCACCGCGCCACCAGCGAGAGAGGCAGAGACACTGGGAATCAAGAGTGGTTGGTGTTGGGGTGAGAGAGAAGTCCCTCCCCGCCAGCAACTCGAAGTAAAAGTCATTCCCACTTAGCAAAGCGGTGGAGGAAGGGCCCAGAGGGCGCCCGGGAGAGGAGGGGCGCGCTAGGAGACAGCAGAGGCGTCCCAGGGCCCCCGCCACTCCTCGGAGGGAGCTGTTGGGGTCCCCAGACGCTGACTTCCCAAAGCTGCCAGCGCAGCGGGTCCAGAGCACGTCCTCGCTGGAGGATGAATGCAAAGGAGGAGCAGAACAGTCCATATTTATCTGTTTTCCTAACCTCGGCCTGCTCGTATTTTTTCTATTAAGTACAATAAAATGGACGAGCTTGCAGTGGGCGCTACACAAAGCAATGTTCAGTGAGGTCTAGAAGCGTTCGGCCGAGGAAAACTGACAAGACAGGCTAATGAACCGTACAGACAGGGGGAAAATAGGCAGCATTTGCTAGATTTCAAACCCTGGCTGTCTCTCTTAGACCACCTATCTTGGATTTATTCGTAATAAAATAAGAAATGAGCGGGCCTTACACTTTTCTTTTCTTTTCTTCAAGATATAAAGAAGGAGGGCATGGCTCCCAAACAAAGCCCTGCAATCAGAGGCGGCCACTGGCAGTTAGCACTCCCATTATCACAGAGGGTAAATAAAATAAAGACAAAAATTAAAAGCGACAAGAAAGAGGTCAAGTTTGCAGGCAGAGCTTTTACAAGCTCATCTCTACAGGTCGGATCCCAGAGCCAGTCTTAATGAAGCAATAATAGCCACATTATTCAAAAATTTTCATTTCGATGGAAATGTATCTAAAAGGGACTTAATCATATGCAAATAATAAAAGGAGGTGGTAGTGACCCAGCAAGCAATATGCATACAGATTTCCCCCCTCAAGGGATACTGAGGATTGAAAACCACATACCTGGTCAGTTAGATTTGCTGATCTTGTTATATCTTCACTGTCTGATTTGGATCCTCCTTCTCTATCGTCTATCACCAAATCGATAGGCATTTTCCCTTTCAAACAGCTAATATACCGGTGGCAGAAATTGTCACATAATTCGTGTACCTACATTATGACAGAAATAAAAAAAATGGAAATATAATCAGGAGTGCATAAATGACATTGACAAGTGCAGCCCACCCCCTTGTGAGATCCGAACTTCGAAATAGGGGAAACACAGGGCAATTGTCCTCTAGAGACCCCCAGATGCATCCAGAATTAGGAATAACTTTCTTTTCTTGCAAAATAGAGATATCCCAGAAAATTGACAGTGACAAGATGATTCACAGGCTACAACATATTCAACACCCGTGCTAAATTCATCTGCTCCCGGGGCTGTGGACATTAGAGAGGTGACCTGCGTAGGTGACATTTAAGGTAAACTATTTTATTTCATCCAGTTACTTTATCATAAACCCTTTTTTCCAAAAAATCTGAGGAAAAATGTGAATACACACACATACCTTAGTACATATTCAAAGGAGCAAGCTTGTGGTGGCACAAGATATACGCCTGACAACCCAAGGCCCTGTTACGTTTGTAACTGGGGTTTCTATTCATAGGGAGTAGCTGTTAGGGTATTTCCTTTAAATATATATATTTAAAGGAAATCATATTGCCAGTACCTGTGATATGAAAAAGCCCACGGCTGGAACAACTTATTGGATTGATTTTTTTTTTTTTTAAAGAACGCTTCAAAATACCTAGGTGTAAAGTGGAGGGGTCTCTTAGAGGCCTCAGGCTTTTGAGACATGCAAAATTTCACTAGAAACCTCACAGTGCTTTCAATTTAATGTTAGTTTGAATTACAATGCAGTAAGTTTTTATTGCTGAGATTTCAAGAACATCTCGCTAGCAAAAATCACATTGTCTCACCCCCTCTTTCTAGAACATGAAGGTATGCTGTGTGCAGGATTCACAGATTCAAGAAATGGACACAACCATCCAGCCTGCTTTGTCTCTGTGCAGTGTTTGCTGTGCCTCCCCCACCAGCGCCTCGGACTCCCTGCCTCTCTCTCCTCCTCCCCGTCCCTCCCTGCGCTTGACCTGCCCCCTGCTCTCAGAAGGTCTTCCAGAAACTCGCTAAACTAAACAAAACTTTTCTCTCCTCAGAGGTAGCAAACAAGAGGAGGGAGCAGGAGAGAAGAGAGCACAGAGGTCTAAAAACTTGTAGAGCCGATGTGCCACAGCATTCAACCTATCAACTAGGATGCACAGTACCCCGGCTATTTACATAAAGCCAGCAAGGTATTAGAGGGAACGCAGGGCTGGGGCGTTTGTGATCCGGGCTTTAGTGGCTGAAATTGTAATTAAACTTCCAAGAGAAATGGACGCTAAGATTGGCCTTGACACTAATTACCAGATAGAAAGACATTTATGCAAATGCCCCAGAAGCCTAAACTTGAGTCATTCCAAGCCTGTGTGTGTGTTTGGGGGGTGATGGGGAAGCCAGAAGAAAAGGGGTAGAGAAATTACCTTCTCTAATTCCAACAGATGGAACCTTAATACTTGTATGGCTTGAATCATCTGAAAAGATACAATGAGAATGAGCCACCACTCCAGGTCTGCAGAAAATTGGCTGTCGCAGCTCCAGCGTCTCCAGCCCACCCCCTCCCCCCAGTAAACAGAGTTATTTTGATTTATAGCAATAACACTAAAACTTAATAGCAGTGACTGGGTACCATCTAGAGGTTTATATTTCTTAAGGAGAAAAAAAGAGAGCTAAAACAACAACAAAGCATCTAAGTGGGGGCCATAAACACTCTTCTCCCCACGACTCTCCCCTCATTTGGCCCTACTCCATCCCTCCTCCAGGGGACACAGCCCTCCATGGGATGACTGGATAGTCCAAATGGTCCCACAGCGTGGCTTTTCACATGACAGTGTCCTGCGGCTCTCCGCACACCTTCCAGGCAAAAAGATATATATTAAAAAAAAATTAAAGTTGTTGTGGAGACACTGCGGTCTGGTGGCTGCCCTGGTGACGCGACTCTGAGGGCTGGGAAGTCCGCAAAGTTTAAGCACACAGGCTGACAGGCCCAGAGATAAATCCCCGCGCTGATTAGAAGCGCGCAGCGCGGCTGTCATAAAAAACAAAAGCTCGCCTTTCCCGGGGCCAGCTTGCCCGGCCCCTTCTCCAGATGAATTTATTTCCCCAGGATCCGGTCCAGGAACCACTTGTCCGTGGACAAGAACACTTCCAGCTTGGAGGAGACCCATCTTGACACCCAGGTCCCCAAAAGCAAAGCTAGGTGGGGTGTAGGTTAAGGGTGGGGAGATGGGGGTGTGGGAGGTAGAGATCAGCTCTTACCAAGTTATCCAGTTCTGGGTTAGAAGAAAATAGAGGTTTTTCTGCGCGAATCTAAACGCAAGTGAGAAAGAGAGGGAGGAGAGAGAAAGGGGGAGAAAAGAAAGACAATTTGAAATCTAGTCTCCTTTCCAGGTTTCTTGCTTCCCTACACTGTCGGGGTCCAGTAGCTGACCTCGGGGATGGACACAGTCATACTCGCGCAGAAACACTTGATTGTGAACCAAACACCCCAGGAGCGCATTCCCTTACGATGGCAGCGACCCGGGCCAGAGAGGCCATAGCGCGTGGTGGCTGCAATTTCATTTTCTAGAAGGAGCTTTTTGTGTTGGGTTCTAAGGTGGGCGAGCAGGCTCGAACACGGGCCGGCCGTGTCCTACAACTGCAAATGGCCGCAGAGCTGCGGCGAGGTAGAAGACCCACGGCCTGGCCTCTGGGCCATTTGCTCTCTCGCTCCTTTGGAAAAAGCGTCTGGGATGAGGGGTGGGGGTGGGGACACATTCTTTTCCCTTTTTCTTTGCAAACACTTATTTTGCTGACCTGTTTGGCGAACACGGCTATATCTTCATTGAATGACTCAGAGGAGCAGACGTCCCCGCCCGCCACCCCTGGCTCGCGGGGTGTACAAGTCGCTAATTCACATTTCTCAAAGATCAGTGCTAAAAGAGGGAACAGGGGGTGTCTGCAAGAAAAGACAAGGCACAAACAACACAATGGTTAGTCCCTCAGTCGTGGGGGGAAAGGCACCCAGGAAAAACTGCCGGAGGGGCTCCAAGTGGGGATCTCCCCCCTCACTCAGGTTTCGACATCCACTTGTCTCTTCTCCTTTCTCCCCCACCTGGCTGACCACTTGCCCCCTTCCCCAAGTCTGAGGCCCTGAGTCTTGCATCAGCCCAGCCTTTCTGGCCGGAGAAATTGGTAACACTTGCTTAAGGGAAAAACCCAAGTGGTCCCATCACGCATCTTGAATGAAGTTTCCCAACCCCGCGGGCGGTTGTCCCCAGCCTCCAGAACCCCGTGGAGGACAGAGGAGACGCCGGCTGGAGGGGAGCTGGGCCCAGTAGGTTCCTGGAAGGCGGTGGCGCCAAGGCTGAGGCCCAGCGGGATCTGGTAGCAGCCGCTCCACTAACTTAGGCAAAGGACCTCAGTGGCTTCGGGACTGGCTGTCAACACGGCTGCTGCACCTACCAATTTGGACCCCACAACGTACCCTCGTAGGGTAGAGCAACTCTTTCTCCGTCCCCAGCAAAACTCCCTTCCCTCTCTGATGGCCCCACAGCCCCCAAAACAAAGTTCCTCCCACAGTCCCTGGCTTTCATTTTGTCTCCGTAGAGTGGCAACACAGCTGGTACTGAGAGGGGCCTAAATGTTGCTTATCTCTACACATAAAAGGGGAGGAAAAAAGCTTCGTCTATACCCAAGGAGGTGTCTCAAGGCTTTTATTAGCTCTCACGGCCCAGCTGGAAATTTTACAATTCGAGATCCTTTGCAAAGCTTCCCCAAATGTTCTGTCCCAGAGTCTACACCATTTGCAGTTAATGCAGCGAGGGAAGGCTGGCTTTAAACAAGCCCACGGAGCCAGGGAGCAGAAAACAGAGCAGAAAGGTTTGCAGCTGGGGAGGGCCGGCCGATTTTACAATCCCCCCCCCACCAAAGAAATGACTAGGAAAGAAAGTGGCTATAAAGTCAAAGAGAGAGAAAAGATGGGGGGGAAGAAGAAGCAGCGCCCCAAATTCATCAGCACACAGCAAACACAAGTGACTTTAAAAGGATTTCGCTTGAGGAGGAGAGCAGGCAGGCCGAGAGAATGCGCTGTTTACAGCCACAGCAAACAGCCGGCCCCGGGAGCACCCCGGCCACGTCGACCTCAGAACACAAAGTGGACAAGCGCCTCGAAGTTTCTCTAGATCCGCACAATCGGAGAGTGAGCCCCTCTCCTGGAACTCACTGGTCGAATTCCCTAAATGCAAAGCATGCTCCCCCTCGCCTGACCCGAGACGGTCCCCCCTTGATTTTATTGTGCGGTGGCACGCCAGCATGTGGTGGCTGTGTAAACTTAGCAAGTCAGAACAATCAGTGGCTTAAAAGATTTTCCCTAAACTAAAACTTTCGTTCCAACACAAAGGCGCCTCCATTTAGGAAGCTCTGACGCTCTCCCAGCCCAGGCCCGCGAGTGCTCCAGTCGCTGAGCTCCGAGCCGAGGGCCCGGGACCTTTAAGGAACTTGTACCAGATGAGGGAGACCCCTCTGCGGGCATCGTGGTGGGGCTCTACACCGGCGAGGGGGTGTGTGGAGATGGGGGGCATCGAGGTTAACTAGCTGTCTACCCACATTTTCCAGGCAATGAGAAGGTGAAGTCCCCTTGTGTGTACCTCGATCCACAGAGCTCTGGCTCTTCTTAACCAAGGGCTTTAGGGAAACTAGCAACTATTTAACCTGCTGTTCCTTGTACCTACCCATAAATGGCATCTTTATCTCTCTTTAAAGCGTCATTGACGGAGGAACCCATGCTGGGGGCCATGGCGTTGGTGTGAGCTGTGTGCGGGTACTGATGCGAGTGCAGAGGAGGCCCGTGGTTCAGGTGGTGGACCGGCTGCATGGAGCGGGCAGCGTGCGGGTCCCCATACATCGTGGAGGGGATGCCCACTCCGTCCATGCCCCCGTAATGGGGCAGATCGTCGTACTGCATGGTAAACAAGAAACAAACAAGGTTCAGCAGGCCTGGCGCGGACAGAGGCGCAACAACGGCAGACGCGGAGCTTACATAATGTCAGTCCAGCTGGGTCCTTCCACCCGGAATACTCACGATGTCCCTGCGTGTCTCAAGTGGAGATCTTATTTTAAAAGACCACAGCACAAGAAACAACAACAACGATCCTACGGACCAACATCCAACAACTGAAAATTCCAGGATTCTTGGTGGGACTCGGCCGGGACGAACCGGTCTTGCCCTAACTTGCGTCCCTACTGACTAGTTCAGAAACCTGGATCCTCTGGCAGGAAAGGAAGGGAGAGAGAAGGGAAGAAGGAAGGTATTCTCCCCGGAGGGCGGAAGGTAAAACGTGCAGGTCTCCAGAGGAGGAAATGAAAAATCACAATAATAAAACGTGCCAGGACAGTGCCGCAAACCCGCCTCATTTCACAGCCCCTTCGCATCAGGGGGAATTAAAGCAGGGGAGGGGAAAGTTACGATGGGAACAGCTATGCCAAGCACGTGAATCCACACAGACTTCTCATTTTATGTCCCTGCCAGCGAGGGGCTAGGCAGTCCTGCTTAGATACTGCCTTTCCTATGTTCTCCCAGACAAAGTCGGCTAAATGATACAAACCGAGCCTCCCTTACAGGCGTAGCTCGGGAAAGCACAGTCTTGGCAGTGTGTACATTAAAGCTGAATTCACAGACTGGACCATTTCCCTCCAAAATGAAAGAAAAAAGAAATCCATAGTTGAATCATTTAATTATTCTATGTCTTCCTCCCTGTGAACTTTACCTCCCATCCTAGCAGTCAATGAGGCAAATGTTTGAAGCCAATTCAAAGCAAACATACTTAGAAACCCCTCTCTTCCTCTTTCAGAAAGAAGACTTTCCTATTGATTGTCATTTTGTGTGCAAAATTTAGCTGTTTAGAATTTCTAATTGCTTTAGTCCAGGCCACTTCTTTCCCCAAGATTTAGAGGTGCTGAGAGTGAAATGATTTTAAAGAAAAGAGGAATTGTCACTTTCATCTCCTTAAAGCCAGAGGTGTGAAAGGAGTTTGGAAGAACTGACATTTGCCTGAACCAAAGGAGCAAAGAAAAATGTGTCAGCCTACTAACTTTCTTTTGCAAACAGGGCTTTGAGGGCCAGGACACAAATTATGCCAAGAAAGCTTTTTTAAAAAGAAACTACCTCCGCTGGGTTGTCACTGCCTCCCTTTACTCGCACACATTTCCATTCAAACAGGAATATTGGGAAAATTAGTATTGCATTTTTAAAGCGAACAACTGTGCGCTTAGTATCCAATTAGCACAGGACTAAGCTAAGGAAAGATTTCAAAGTAGTACCTCGCCTCAAATCTATGCAAATTGAACAAACTGTTACAAGATGGCTATTTTTAAATTTTGCTGAACTGGGACAAAGTTATTTCTTTGGAAAGTTAACTGTTTTCTAGTGAAATAGCAAAGATGAGTTTAATTAATAGCGTTTCAGAAGTTTCCAGCTGCCTTGTTTGTTTTAAAATAACTTTAAAGGATCTTGAAACACTCAAATCATTGCATCAAGCTATCTAGCATTTTTTTTTAAAGAATCTGTTTTAACAGTTGATCTTTCAAGCTTATATTTGTATTTATACAGCTGCTTGGTAGGAATCTATAGAAAACTTGGTTATATGAATTAACAGTTACACATAACATGCACAGAGTTTACAAATGCATTGAATAAGTAACTCTCGCTTTAGGCCACGGCTTTAGGAGCCTTATTCAAATAGAAAGAAAAAAGACAGAAAAAGCAAACTTTTTAGCAGTGTCCTTCAGCCACGTTTCCATTTAATCTTACATCTGAGTTCCACAATTGTTTTTTTAATACGTACCCTTTGCGCCATCGGCCTCCCTGGCTCCCTTCCTACTTCAACTTCTAATATATCCTCTTTAAGGCCAGTGTGAAAAGAAACAAATACTCAAAGTCCCTCAGGGAAAAAAAAAAAGAAAGAAAGAAAAAAATTTTTTTTAAAAAGCACGGCGAAAAATCCCTTAACGTCTCCAGCAACGTGAGCGACCGGTCCAAGATCTTCAGTCTAAAGAGACTTGAAGCAAAGCGCCCGAGTCACTGAGCATAAAAGCGCTCCGTTTCCAAGACAGCAGCGGGGCAAAGGGAGAGAAGGGGGGAGGGAAAATAAAGGAAAGAAAGAAAAGCAGTTCTTCTCTTCTCTCCCCCAAAAAATCAGTTTAAAAAAAAAAAAAGGAAAAAAACAACAACAAAAAAAGAGAGCGCCCCTCAGACCCAACTACCAAATCTCATGGCTTTCTGCCACTCCGGCTGTCAATCACCGGCGAGGTTGTCAACGTGGTGAATGAATGATCATCCGCTCTGTCTTCTTCTGGTTAGAACACCTCAAATGTTAATATTCAAATGCACAAAGCCTTAGCGCTCGCTTGCTTTGAATCAGTCCTAATTCCTAATCAGTTTCTCTCTTTCTCTCTCTCTCCCTCTCTCTCTCTCTCCCTCTTTGCAACTGCTGCACTGGAGGGAGATTAGAGGAGGAGGGTTAAAAAAAAAAAAAAATGTCTGTCTGAGTTTGTCTTAAAGGAGCCACGATCGATGCCGGCCGCGCGCACCCCGGTGCGTGTGTACAGTGTGTGTGGCACAGGCGGCGAGGTGGGTTCCGAGGCGAATGCTAGAACCCGGAAGTAGTGGTGGCCATACCAGGTCGCGTCTTACACAATGCACTGGGCTGCAGCAAGTCGGCGCCGCGCAGGGGTGGGTGCGCCAAGCGAGCTCCGGCCGCGCTGGAGAGGCGCGGAGGCGCTCCGCAGAGCGCACGCCCGGGCGCGCGCGCGCGCGCACACACACACACACACACACACACACACACACACACATACACACACACACACACACATACACACACACGCACACACACAGAGACTGAGCCACCGCCAGCAGTATCTCCCCCCTTCCCGCCCCTATGCCCAAAGCCGACTCTTTTGCCATAAATTGGGAATAAACGCGGGGCAGGCAGCAGCGCTCTGGACTCTGCACACAAGACTCTCTGATTTGCCTTGCAAGGATTGGGGTCTGACCTTCTTTAGTCGAGGCAGGGGGTGCAGAAAGTGCTGGATTATCAGAACTAAACCCCCCAAGTGGACGAGTCAAATGAAGGGGGAACTAAGGGAGAGGAGGCGAAGAAGCTGGAGCGAGGCTGGGGAAGGAAGGCTGTGTAAGGGAGTCCCTAGAGCGAGGGGTGGAGGTGGTTGGGCTTTTGCAGACCTGGGTAGACCTTTTTGCTGACAAGGGTGGATGCGGGTTCCCCCGAAGGGAGAAGCTTGCATTTTCTCACTTTGGATCTGGGCGTCCAGGCGGCCAAGAGCCCCAGCCCGGGCGCCCTGCGCGAATTGAGAGAGGAAGGGAGTGAACAATGAGCCCAGAGCCGGGAATGTACTCTCAGAGCCTCTTGATAAACACAGTTATTTCTGATCGTCGGAAAGTGAAACCCGCCGCGGGTTCTGAGCACCCAGACCCTGCGGGCGTAGCCGGGCCGAGGAGCCGCGGGCCAGGAGGCTCCTTCTCCGACCCGCTCCGGGCGAGGCGGTTGTGCGCCCAGGGCGCGGCGCGCGGGGCTGGCGCGCTCGGCTCGGGCAGCGGCCGAGCCGCCTTTGTCTGTGAGACTCCGAGGGAGCTCCGGCCTCCGCCGCACTCGGGCCTGGAGGGGGCCCGGCACTCCTCTGGCTCTCTCCCCCAACCTCTTCTTCTGTTGTCTTGCATTCCCCTTCCCCACCCGCCTCGGCGACAACTCCAAATGCCGAGGGGCAAAAGTCATCTACCTCCGGAGCCGAAATACAGACAAAAAGCTGCTACGCAAAACTCGGGAGTTCCCAGCCAAGCCACGGCTTTCAACTTTGTCACGTTAAATGGCTTTCTTTGAGCTTAAAAAGAGAAAAAAAAAAAAAAGGCCTTCTTTTTATTATTTTTTTAAAATAATCTCTCACTCTGAGCGTGGCCCTTATTATTGTTTGTGTTGGTGTGATTCGGGTCTTTCTCTGCTCCGCAGCGCTGGCTGGGACTCAGAAGCTCGCGCGCGGCAGGCTGGAAATCTCCCCTCATGGAGCTCGGCTCTCAGTTCGCCCGGCTCAGAGGAGGATTTGTTTCCCTCCCTCCAGCAAGAACCTCGGTGAAATCTCCCCCTACGGTCTGCGGCACAATGAGCTCTCCCAAATCTCAGTAGGCAGCCGCGGAGCAAGGCTCGGCCAATCAGCTGGAGCCCTTGCCAAGGCCGCCGCGCATTGGCTGCGAGGAAAATCAATTATCAAATAATCGATCAGCAGGGAGCTTCGATCTACCAGGAATGCAAACTGCCAGTCCGGATTCCCGCCCTGGGGATGGCGGAAAGCCTGAATTCCCCCCCGACCCCAGAAGCCGGGCCCAGGGCGCCCCTCGCGCCCCTCGCCCCCATCTCGTCCCATCCCGCCAGCTGTGAATCCCACTCCAGCCTCCAAGGGGGTGTAGGTAGCAGGAAGAATTTTTTTAGAGAAAGATTAGAGAGCTCACTTCACGCTGAGCATGTTTGAAAAAGGTTAGAGCTCTTCAGATAGACTGAATCCGACTCTTGAAGCGCAGAGCAAAAGCGCATTTACATCTGTCCGTAAAATAGGAGTGAAGTTTCTGTTGAGTGGACTTTCTAAGAGCTCATGACACCAGGCGAGCATCTAGGTTCGGATCAGGTCCCACCGAGCACGCGCAGGAGACCCGAGCAACACTGCATCCGTTATTATAAGGGTTTCGCACGATTCCATGCCTGTCCTCCCTCTCCCCCACCCCCACCCCAGGCCCTGGGACGTTTCCCTAAAGCCGAGCCACTGAGCCTACCCAGTCTCTGGTGCTCTCCACCCCCCTACCCCAACCCCACACTTGACCCATTTGTGACTTGGGGCTCCCACACGTTCACTCAGACCTTCCAGATGTGTATGGTCTTGAAAATGCCCGACAGCTTTTTAAAAATCCACACAATCCCTCGTTATTTGCTACTTTGCCTCCGATACCCAGGTTTTTAGGCTCTTTGACTTTGCCTGGTCGTGAACACGTTAAGTAAGCGCTTTTTGGCTCAAAAGCCCAGCACATCACGCAGGTTCAAGTGAACCCATGTGTCAAAGCCAAGGGACCCCAGGCGAATATGCGGAGCCTTTATGCCCGAGCTGAAACCCCCACCGTGAACGTACAAGCTCAGTCTCAGGCCACAGGGTCCTAGGACTTTCTCCTGAGTCCCTCGGGAGCTGTCCTGGGCAGGAAGCACATTCCTTCCAGATCGCTGGGAGGGCTGCGAGCCCTTCGCGGAGCCCCAGCCCCAACTCTTCACCTCTGTTTCCCGAGGGGTGAGCGCCGCTGTGTCTCTGGCAGGCCCACAGCTACAAGTGCGGCCTGGTGTTAGGGTGGTGGCGGTGCTGGGGTGTCAAATCAAATATCGAGGGCACCTCTACATTTACGATTTTTAAAACCTGCGAGGGGAAATTGTCTAAATACAGTTTAACTGCGAGAAATTTACAGTGAAACACAGTTAACAAACCCACAAGTTCTCTGGCCTTGACATTACCTGGGCAAGAAGGATGTCAAATTTGGAAAAAGCTAGATTTGGGGTTTTGTTGGGTTGTTTTGTTTTGTTTTTTGTCACACGACTTCCTTAGTGGTACTGTTGTCCGCTTAATTTTGTTTTGTATTCTGGCACAGATGAAAAAAGAAGGTTCAGGTAAGCCACTCGTTTGCTTCAAACATGACCTCAAAAATATGCTTTCGCTCTGGTTGTTCGGATCATCTTGTGAAAGGACTTATTTACCTACTCACGGATGTTCTGGAGAGAGACTAGTGTTAGCAAGTGAGTGTGAAACACACTCTTATTAGTTTTTAAAATGTATCTTCTTTCTTCCACTCTTCCTCCACTTCCCTCCCCTTTCCATTTATAACTGTGAAGCAAAGTCTACCTGTAGGCCTTTATAAAATGAATTCTGAACAATCATGGGACTAAAAACCACTTTTACAATGTAATTACAGTAGTACAAATTGTTTGCCCAAACCTCATTCTGGATAAGGATTTTACAATTAGCAAACAATTATTACAGTTAGGGCTTGCTGAGAGAAATTGCACAGAGGATATCTAGGGTGGCAATATAGTAGCCATAAAAAGAGAGAGCACAAGAGAAAAGATTTTAAAAACCACCCTTTTCAGGACAGCAATTAATCATCTATTAAAAGGAAAAGTAAAGAGACAAGTTTGGTTATCTTAGTAAATGACATTGATATTTATGTCTATTCTGGGTCAGCATCTATCCCCAGCTTATTTCAGATATTGGCTTTTTAAGGCAATGCCACTTTTCATTTACAAAAGCTTGGCCTGCTGAGGGGGTCTGGCCCTTGCCCCTGGCTCTTGCAATGTGTACCTTCCCTAGCCCAGAGATTGAGAATGGAGACTCTAGAGAGAAGGCTTGGGCCCCTACTTGTGTCTTCTCTCCCATCAAAGAGGCACCAGAGCCCTCTAGGCTGCAGTACTGGAGTACTGGTCCACCGTGAGAACTCCCTTGTAACTTTCTGTTCGCCTAGAAGGAATCATGCCTGTGGAAAGGCCTATATCCTGAACAAAACTATTGTCCCAAAAGTTCACACAGATGAGGCAGCTTTCAAATCCTCAGAAATGAAAGAGGCACTTCTTAAGGTAAAAATGTGTGTGTGTGTGTGTGTGTGTGTATTTGTCAGCCCAGAATAAACAAAAGCCTGCTAATCAATCGGGTTTGGCAGCTGTGTTCACAGAATGATAAGGGTTTATCATCCGCCACCTAGTTTTAAGATGCCTGTTAAAATGTGTGATTGCCTTTCAGGTTGTCCTGTGGAGTGCAGGCTGGGGTGTTTTGCTTCAAGAACATTTATCCTCTGCCTCTTACTTACCCTCACATCAGCATTTGCATTTCAAAAAAACAGAAATATGAGGAGAGAAAGGCTGCTTAAAGAAAATAGATTTTAAATCTAGTAGAGATAATGGAGGAATGCTAGCAGATAAGGGCTGGATGTGATATGAGAAAGGTAGGAGAAGTCAAAGCTAATGAATGGCTGTGAGAAAAGTGAAATA